GACCCGGACACTGAAAGAACCTTGGGATGCTACCAACTTGGAGAATTTAAATTTTTCAATCCACAAAATAGAATTCAGTGTACATATCAATCAGTAAATTTTAGGTTGATTGGCACTTTACTATTTGAGAATGATTTATAAATGAAAGGCAAATTATTTCCCATGCCAGCTATTTACCATATTTTTCCCTTAAATCCTTTTTATTAAATCCCCCCTCCTAAATAGCTCTAAATTGTCATCAAGTCAGTAATTCTAATTTTATGCGCTGACTGGCTAATGCACTCAAGCAGGTCTCCCACAGCTAGGTTTGCACTGGACAACACATCAGAGGGAGGGCCCTGACCGCTCACACATTCTTGACCTGGGTGATGTGCAGTGTGACCTCTCAGTGCACAAAAATAATGCGACTAAAATACTATGAAATTTGAGATTAATTTCCCCCTTCCGGAGTGGCACAACTTTTCTAGAAACAAAGTCAAAGCAAGTTCATCTTTTATAGCTGCCCAGAACCTGTGTTTGTTTTTTTTAATACAGCCTTTAACCAGCAATAATTAGTGTCAATTCTCTTCTTCGTCCCCATCCTTATGTGAAGACTCGGTATTCTTTTAAATGCCACTGTTTCAGGGGATGCCTGAGTAGACATGAGAGAGAGTCTACCTGCCACCCCTGGGTTAGTCTGGGAGACAGTGCCAGAGGCTTAAACTGCATCAGGAAGAGGAGACTTCTGAGAGTCTCTAACGGCTCTCAGAAGCTCGGAGAGACTGGATCCTGAACCCTAACTTGGGAACAGCAAATTCCATCCTCTAAACCACATGTGTCAAACACAAGGCCCGCGGGCCAAATCCGTCCCGCCAGGCCTTGCAATGTGGCCCGCACCGCGCTGTCATCACTGCACTCCGCTGCGTTTCCATCACAATGACAGTTTATGACTGTTCAGTAAACCATTCGGCCCGCGATTTAGGCTGGATTTTAGATTTTGGCCCCTTCTCTGATTGAGTTCGACACCCCTACAAACGGAAAGGTGCTAACAGACGCCTTGTGATACAGGTCTTCCCGCATTCCCTCACAGTATTTGTGCTAGGCATGTGCGTAATTGTAAACTGAGAGCATCAAGATCTAGCTCTGTGGGAACTATCGGAGGGGAGAATCCACCTTCTATTTGAAAATATTGATGTTGAAAACTAAGGATCCTTATGACTTAGATTAAATTTAGTTTTAAATTCTAGCTCTGGACATATATTCATATTCTCTCTCTCTCTCATAGACCTAGTCTTTCCCTCTAATCAGCAACCTCAACACCACCACTCAGGAATCAGGAAACAGTAGCTGGACCATGGTCACACGGTCTGGACCTCTGCCAGCTAAAGAAAACATCTTGACCTAAGTAATGTTTCAGTTCCTGAGCCTTAATGTAGAAAGACCCCTGGTTACTTTCCCAGAAGACCGAAACCTCAGAACTGTCCTCAAGACCTGAAGAAATGATTCATTACTCTTTCCTCTCTGACCAGTGAGCTCCCCAACCCCTAAATCCATGGTGTTTTGTGATTTTGCCCTATATAATCTGTAAGCTACACAACATCAGATCTTTAGCATTAGCTCTCCATATCTGGACTGGTCAATTCAATATTAAACTATCTTTATTTCACTCGCCGGGCTTGGCTCGGTGGTTGAGCATTGACCTATGAACCAGGATGTCATGATTTGATTCCCGGTCAGGACACCTGCCCAGGGTTGCAGGCTCAATCCCCAGTGTGGGGCGTGCAGGAGACAGCCAATCAATGATTCTCTCTCATCACTGATGTTTCTCTCTCTTTCTACTTCTCCCTTCCTCTCTGATATCAATGAAAACAACAAACTACTTTTCTTTGTATAAAGCTCCTGCTCATGCATTGGGGTTCCAGCAGCAATGTCCCTAAGAGCACATAAAGATTTTGTATACGCTATTTTCATCGATCCCCAGAAGAGGAGATAAAAGAATAGGAAACCTTTAAAAAAAATTTTTTAATTGATTTTTTACAGAAAGGAAGAGAGAGGGACAGAGTTAGAAACATCAATGAGAGAGAATCATCCATCAGCTGCCTCTTGCACGCCCCCTACTGGGGAGGTGCCCGGAACCAAGGTACATGCCCTTGACTGCAATCGAACCTGGGACCTTTCTTTCTTTTTTTTTTTTTTTTTTAATATATATTTCATTGATTTTTCACAGAGAGGAAGAGAGAGAGAGTTAGAAACATCGATGAGAGAGAATCATCGATCAGCTGCCTCCTGCACACCCCCCACTGGGGATGTGCCCGCAACCAAGGTACATGCCCTTGCCCGGAATCGAACCCGGGACCTTTCAGTCCGCAGGCTGACGCTCTATCCACTGAGCCAAACCGGTCCCGGCGAACCTGGGACCTTTCAATTTGCAGGTCGACGCTCTGTCCACTGAGCCAAACCGGTTTCAGCAAGGAAACCTTTTAAAGGTCTTAGGATAGAGGACTGAATCTTTACAATTATGCAATTATTAAAATATGTAAGGTGAACTGACAGTTTCCTGAAATATGCTTTTGTTCCCATTAGGACTGATTCATTAAGCAGGAATAAACTCCATGTAATTTTTTCATGGAAAAATGTATAGGGTGCTATTCTTTTTAATGTTAAAAAGCATAAAGTAACATTTTATGGTAATGTTTAGTGTGGCATATGATACTGTGTTGTAATGATTACTGCTATAGATTACTTGAGTATATAGGATCAACTAAGTTCCAGGTGCAAGAACTTTAAACACAAAAGCAAAAACAAAACATGTAAGGTGATCAAGAACATTAAAGCATATCTTTAAGCTGTAGACAGAGTGGAACATTTGGGTTTAGAAATACATGAATTCCAAAGGACTATGGTCTCATTCAGCCACAAACAGCCAGGATTTGTTTCTAGGGTGGGTAAATTCCCCTCAGGCAGTGACTTTTGTAAAAGGGGACAAAAAAGGTTCCCATTTATTCTGAGCATTAGCAAGATCCTTTGCTGCACTCTCACATTTAACCCAGGCCATGAGAGCAGACTATTTACTCTAAAACTGCATTTCTTTAATACAGTTCTGGAGAGGATTGTTTCTAAGAACTAAGAGTCACATTGCTCTCTACCCTTTGCCATTTACTACCACTGAACCCTCAGCTGCGCTGGAGCACACTCTGCCAAGGAACAGCCATAACTGAGAGCCCCCTTTGTCCCTGAGAACCCAACTGCTGTACGAATGCGGGAGGGAAACCATCCAAGATTTCGAATGAGTGGGTTGGAAGTATGCACCACTATAGACACAGAATGTCTTACTGTGATGGTCTGCTAGAGGTATCCTGAATTTCGTTTTGAGAAACACTTGAAGCCACAAAGCTATTTCTCTTTCAAACATATTGACACCACAGATGTAAAGAAAAAACAAAAACAAAAAACGCACACACAGTTAACGAGCCCACAGCATACCCAAATGCCCTGAGAAGTTTGCCAAAACCTAGAAGAAAACTTATTAATATGAACATGGACCAGAGATAAGGATCCAGTGTGAATAGCTCAACTTGACAACTGAGATTCAAAATCAGCCAAAACAAAATAACCTTCCTGGGAATCTCCCCAAGAGACACAGTAAATAGTTTAGATCAAAACAACACGGGAAATCTTTTACCTAAAGATTCCATTAACAGTAACATGACATTAGGGGCATAGCCACTACACTGAGGCTCTACAATAGATTTACTGCCAGCTAGTGTGGCTCAGTAGTTGAGTGTTGACCTTTGAACCAGGAGGTCACAGTTCGATTCCCCGTCAGGACACATGCCCGATGCAGGACACGGCTCGATGCAGGAGGCAGCCAGTCAAGGATTCTCTCTCATCACTGATGTTTCTATCTCTCCCTCCATCTCCGAAATTAATAAAAATATAAAATAACAATAATATGGAAAAGAATAAAAATAAAATAGATGTATTTTCTGTAGCCTCAGAGGCCTATACAGAGATTTTTGTGGGGACATTTAAAATAAGTTTTTTAAGCTTTTAAAAACTTAAAGATTCTGAATAGACAAGTCAACTTCAAGTTATTCCAGCTGTGCCTCAAATATAAAATGATAACTCTTAAATTTACTTTAGAAGGAGTAAGAATAGTCTGGGAAATAGTTAATGGAATGAAGACACTTGGTTTCCACTGATCTCGTGACCCTATTACATAGAAAGTGTTAAAAATATGTAAATGTATACACAATTTACACACACACACACACACACACACATGCACGTTTTCATATTGTTTTCATATCTATTACAACTTTACCTGACTGCTCTCCCATCATCTTTAATGACACACAACAAGTCTACTTACTCCTATGACTGTAGTGGAGACAAAGTACCTGAATCAGGAGTATACATTTGTTAAAGGAATATATGACTATCGGTCATGTTTCGAATGTCTATGAAAATAGCTATTTAACCACAGCAGAGCTGTGTTAGGCTAATTTTTAGCCTGTATATTTTTATGGTTACATGATTTTGGGGTATAGCAAGAATATGCCAGAAATTCCGAAGGAGAAAAATTTTTTAAGCCCTGGCCAGTTTGGCTCAGTGGATAGATGTTGGCCTGCAAACTGAGGGATCCCAGGTTCGATTCCGGTCAAGGGCATGTGCGTTGGTTGCGGGAACATCCCTGGTGGGGGCTGTGCAGGAGGCAGCTGATTGATGTGTCTCCCTCATCAATATTTCTAACTCTCTGTCCTTCTCCCTTCTTCTCTGTAAAAAAATCAATAAAGTATATTTTAAAAATGTTTTTAATGCTTTACTATTAAGGCCCCTTTTCGTGTGCTGTTTGCAATGCAACAACCAAAACAAGCTGCCATCCGTGAGACTCTCACTCCACTCCGACCGTCAGTGTGTGCTCTCACTCACCTCTGCTCCTACCTCAGAAACAAAGACCAGGACTTATTCCGGAACATCAAAGTAGCAACTGTCAGAGGGAAAGACTGTGACAAACTTACCAGGAGGCGTGCAGGCATCGGCAGGAGACTGGACGAATGTGGAGCGCCTTTTGGTAGGCATGGGCAAAGCCATTTTTTGTTCTTTATGCTTTGCCAGTGCAGCCTGAACCGCTTCTGTGTGAATATCTGAAAGAGTAATAAACATTTTCACTAATCAGCTCCTGGCTCTTAAAGTGTTTTACTTCTGTGGGCTGGCCTATCACTGCTGGTAGAGAAAGGGATGGTTAGGTGATTTTTATTTATCATTTGTGTTAAAATATAAGGGCTGATGTTACTTGTTCGTCACTTTGGCCACAAAAGAATTCAGTTCTCCACTGAATGTCTAATTGGAATCTCAAAATTAACGTAACTCTTGATTCTCTATTCCTACCCCCAAACTCACTTTTCATTTCTACAAAAATCAGACCATCCTATACACAGTATTTTGGATTCTGCTTTATTATTATTATTATTATTATTATTATTATTATTATTTAACTCTTACACAATCCTACTGAGGTAGGTAACAAATGAAGTGAATTCCTAGTTCCCCAAAATGTCTTCTCCTCAAGCAATGGGCCCAATCCACATGTAAACCATCCTTAAAGGCCTGTCTATGATATACAAATACACCCCTTATAAGGCTGGAACAAGCAGATCCTTTGGGGCGTGGGGTAAACTCTGCATCAAGAAACTGCAGGTCCCTAGAGTTGAGTCACTTTAATGACACTGCCTTAGAAAGAAGAAAAGTCCTTGAAGCTCAAGGTGGAGCTCTCCAGAGCTCTCTCTCCCTTTCTAGAGATTTCTCATTTATTCCTTTGTTTCTATGACATACCCTAGGTATTTAAGGTAACCTGAGTTGTCCTGTTTCATTCAACAGCAGCAACAACAAAAAGTCTCACTAATTTAACTGGAAACATCTTTCTGGGTAAATATAGACACCTACAATAATTTTAAGGGCTGCATGGTATTTCACTGTATGATGTGCCATAATATGTTTAAGCAACCTTACTTCCAATTTTTTGCTATTATTCAAAGCAACTATTCACTGCAAGAATAATTCAGTATCTTCACTTTATCACACACAATCAACCCAATTTCCTTAAGGTTAATTCCAACAATTGCTGAGGTATACAAGATTTTCCTCTTACATAGCTACAGTATATTGCTTAAAATCCAGAAATTAAAAATATATAAAATTGCTGAAACTGGTTTGGCTCAGTGGATAGAGCCTCGGCTTGGGGACTGAAGGGTCCCGGGTTCTATTCCGGTCAAGGGCATGTACCTTGGTTGTGGGCACATCCCCAGTAGGGGGTGTGCAGGAGGCAGCTGATCGATGACTCTCTCTCATCATCGATGTTTCTAACTTGCAATCTCTCTCCCTTCCTCTCTGTACAAAATCAATAAAATATATTTTAAAAAAATAAAATAAAAATAAAATAAAATAAAAATATGTAAAATTATTATCTAAACCACAACCTATATTCCAAGTTAGCCAATTGTCCCAATAATGTCTTCTATAGTTTCTTTGCCTTTTTCCATGATCTGGGACCCAATACAGAACCACACATTTAGTTGTCATGTCTCTTTATAACCAGGAATAGTTATATTGCAGAATGTCCCTTAATTTTGCTTTTGTTAATACTTCTTCATAATTACTCAGACTGTGTATTTTGGCAGGAAGACCACAGAAGTAAGGTGTCTTCTTGAAATATAATGTCAGGATATATCTGCCTTATTACTGGTGATAGTAACTTTGATCACTCAATTTAGATGGGTTCTGCTAAGTTAATCCACTGTAAAGTCACTATTCTTCCCCTTATTTAACTTATGGGTGAATACTTTTGAGACTATACAAGTGTTATATACTTCATTAAACTTTCACCCACTAGTTTTAGTATTCACTGATGATTCTTGACTGAATCAAGTATTTCTATAATAATTATGAAATGATGGTTTTAAAACTCCATCATCCCTTCTGTATTTATTAGTTGGTATTCTAAGAAATATCATAATGGAGATGAAAAATTCCTGTTGCCTAGCATTGTAGAGCAGCACACTACTTTCATGTTTGTGGTGATGTTGGTATAAACAAACCTACTGTCCTACCAATCGGATATAAGTATAGCACATACAATCATGTATGATACATAATATCTGATAATGGCAGTAAATAACTATGTTATTGTTAACATGTATTTAGTATGCTGTTATTTTAGGTTGTACTCTTTCTTATAAAAAAAAGTTTGCTGTAAAATAATATGCTGTGTTACCCAGGCACCTCATACATTTTGTGTTTACTGTGTGTCTTTTCTTTTTTAATTTAATAAATCTTTATTGCTCAGATTATTACAATTGTTTCTCCTTTTTCCCCCATAGCTCTCTTCTAACCAGTTCCCACCCCACCCTCTGCCCTTACCTCCCTCCCATTGTCCTCATCCATAGGTGTACGATTTTAGTCCAGTTTCTTCCTACACCCCCCCGCCACCTTTCCCTCTGATAATTATCAATCTACTCCCTTTCTTTGCCCTTGATACTATTATATTCACCAGTTTATTCTGTTCCTCAGATTTTTAATTCACTTGATTTTTAGGTTCACTAGTTGATAGATAGGTATGTATTTGTTATTCATAATTTTTATCTTTACTTTTTTCATCTTCCTCTTCTTAAAGCATACCTTTCAGCATTTCATATAATACTGGTTTGGTGGTAATGAAATACTGGCTTTTTCTTATCTGTGAAGCTCTTTATCTGCCCCTCAATTCTGAATAACTTTGCTGGGTAGAGTAATCTTGGTTGTGGGTTCTTGCTATTCATCACTTTGAAAATTTTGTGCCACTCTCATCTGGCTTGCATAGTTTCTGTTGAGAAATCAGCGGACAATAGTATGGTGCTCCCTTATAGGTAACTTTTTCTCTTGCTGCTTGTAAGATTCTCTGTCTTTTGCTCTTGGCATTTTAATTATGATGTGTCTTGGTGTGGTCCTCTTTTCTAGAAATTCTTGAAAAACCTTATAATCATAGTTTTGAACTCTATATCCAGTCTTTTGTTCCACTTCTTTCTTTTGAGATCTGTTTCCTTGTTTCCTCATTTTTGCTGCTTCCCTGAATTGGTAGGGTGGCTTTGTGTGCTTGGTGTCCTGTATAGGCTGGTGGGTCAGCCTCCCCAGTTATCTGCGATAGACACTCTTGGTGCTCCCCTTTGTGGACTGCGTGTACAGCCTTGTTGTAGTTAAGTCTTGATTGTTGTTGGTATCACTGAAAGGAGTTGACCTCCAGGCCAATTGGCTGTATCAGCTGTGTCTATGCCAGGATACCTTCTGAATTGGTGACAGCCTTATAGGATCAGACTTGCAAAATTGCAAAAGCCTCTGTGCTCAGCTTGAATGGGGCAGAATCTCAGGGCTGAGCTGATAGTCTTGGCTTCCTGTCAGCCTTGCCCTTGTGCAGGCACCTCAGACCTCTGCTTTCCATGGATCCCCTGAGTTTCCACCTGACAGTCCAGATTCCCCCTGCAAGAGCTTAGGTGCCCTAGGGCTTGCCTGGAACTGGATTGGGCCTCTGTATTAATATTTTTTAAAATATATTTTATTGATTTTTTACAGAGAGGAAGGGAGAGAGATAGAGAGCTAGAAACGTCGATGAGAGAGAAACATAGACCAGCTGCCTCTTGCACACCCCCGACTGGGGATGTGCCCGCAACCAATGTACATGCTCTTGACCGGAATCGAACCTGGGACCTTTCAGTCCACAGACCGACGCTCTACCACTGAGCCAAACCGGTTTCAACTGTATTAATATTTTTAATCCCAGTGCTGTAAGAACTGGGATTCAGTGCAGTCAGGAGCTTCTGACTCCTTCCGCTATGGAAAGGCTGCGGCAACCTCCGCAATCAGACCTCTGTGCACGCACTCGGTCACGTGCGTGTGCCTCTCGACCCTGCTCACTGCAGCTCCCAGCTCCCCCGAGTCTCCAAGTCTCTGGGTGCCTTTCTCTACAGTTCAGACTCCACCCATATGAGTCTGGGTCCATGGTGTTTTGGCCGGGGCTGGGGTTCAGTGCAGTCGGAACTTGGGGTTCAGTGCAGTCGGGGACTTCCTTTCCCCTCCTGCCAGCCAGGCACTCAGCCATCTTTCCTGTCTGCACGTGTGTCTCCCTACTTCAGTGCTTTGTGGCTCCCCTGATCCGTGAGCCTCTCTCTCCTTCTTTCAAGTGGTAAAATTTCCACTCAGCCAGCTTTCCTGTGGTTTTGGATGATGTCCATTCTGTCTTTTAGTTGTTGTTTTGAAATTGTTGTGCGAGGCAGCAGTTTAGGTGCTTACCTAGGCCACCATCTTGGTTTCTCCATTTACTGTGTATCTTGATTGTATTATTTACTCTGGCTTTGATATAATCTCATGTTGTTTTGTACAGTAAATATGCTGTACAGGTAGGCTATAGCATATAGCCTAGGTGTGCAGTAGGTTATACCATATAGGTTTGTGTAAGTGTACTCTGATGTTTGTATGAAGATAAAATTGCCTAACAATGTATTCTCAGAACATATCCCTGCTGTTAAGCAGTGCATAACTGTATATCAATATGGACTTATTGATTCTCATTTTATTCCTTGACTATTCTATTATGATTGCTAGTTATTTTGATGCTGTGCTAATATTATCCCAAAGGAGCCCCTTCAAACCAACTCTTATGTCCTTTTGACATATTCCTACCATTTTGAGCAATTCTTTATTTTCTGGTATAAGATGTTCCAGGCTCATATGGTATGTTCCCTGATCCAGCACCAAAATTATTCATTTCTCCAAGGGGCCTTGGCTCTTCTTAGTGGAGAATAGTTCTTAGAATATATAGGGGGTGAACAGGCTGGCAGGTGAGCGATTGGGAGCCAGCAGTCAGACATCCCTTAAGGGGTTCCAGATTGGAGAGTGTACAGGCTGGGCTGAGGGACACACACACCTGTGCACGAATTGTGTGCACCGGACCTCTAGTCCAATATAATAAAAGGCTAACATGCAAATCGACCAAACATGGAAATGGCCAGTTGCTATGACACACATCGACCACCAGGGAACAGACTCTCAATGCAGGAGCTGCCCGCTGGTGGTCAGTGCACTCCCATCTGCGGCAGTGTTAAGGATGTCCGACTGA